AATGTCAAAGCCTGCTGACACAGGTTCTAAAGCAGGTCAGAAGGACATCAACTGCAGAGCAAATGCATCTGTCCTTGATTTCTGAATGATCGCAGAAGCATATCAAACTACTTTCAAAAGCATTGTGTAGCAGACGTATGGCGCTGCTCAAAGCTGTACAAAACACAATCACCCCGCCGGAAAGGAAGAGGGAAGCAGCGTCTCAAGTAGTCCCGAAAACTAGGCAATGTGCAGGGAAAAAAAAAATGGAAGCCGCTCATACCGATCCCGAGGAGACCTGTGAAGACGCTGTATTGTGGTATGGCCTCAGCTGTCATTCTGGCCACACTCCCTGACATGTTTCGCCCTACCCATAGGGGACTTGGTCTTCAAAAGCATGTTCACCCCAGTGACAAGGTTTATGGTTAAAATGTAGAGGCTTAAAGGCTCATTTTAGAGGTTAGGTTAGGGCTAGGATTATGAGTTGAATTTGGTTAAAGCAGTAACAAACTTTGAGCTAAAAGAAAAAATTTTCTCCGCACAAGGTAAAGGCATAATGTGCTAGTATGCATTGAGTACTAACACATTATGAGAGACTTACCTTGAAACAAAGCCCTCCAGCAGCACTCTGTCACCGCTGAAGAAGCTTCCATCTTCACCCGGTCTTTCTTCTGGGTTCGAGGGCAGCAGCCGTTTGAATAGCATGCACACGAGAGTCTTGCCATTGGCACAGAGCTCTGAAGGATGCTGGTTCTGCAGAGCGCATGTGCCAGTGATGTCACTGACTGCCAAGCAGGGAAATGTTATATTTTATTTCACTACAGGTACTTATAGAGTCAGCAATTTATGCAGTGCTTTACATCAGTCCCTGCACACAAGGAGACCTGAAGCATCGCTCTGCGGAGAACTGTGGCTGTCCAAGCGTGAAGTGCGGTGGGGTTTAGGAGACGATGGACAATTTCTTGCTTCCGTGCCCCTTCAATATAGATGTCTACAAGCGGGTGGGTGGGGCTCTGGGGATCCCTTTCCTTTCCCACTTGAGTTACTCGCAGTGGTGTTACAGTGCCTTTCAGACTCACCAGGACTTTGATTTTAAGACACTTTTTCTAGTTGGCTTAGTAGTCCGTTATTACACGTGCAATGCACGGTGTCAGGTTTCCATTCGCAAAAAAGTCCTTCCTGTCAAGGTGGTGGTGAACAACATTCTGGGTGAGGTTGGGAAGATTCGGGGTCTTGAGAAGGATGGGTGGCGGCCGGGAGCATGGACAAAGTCGTCGAGAAATGTCAGGTCCCCGTAGCTGCTGTCTGTCAGTCTCTGGGGGCGTGGCTTCTCTTTCTGTCCTTTCACGTCCTCTAGATTTTTGTAACATCAGATTTTTGAAGAAAGGAGGCATGTATGGGATCAATGTTTAATCGTTTCCTAGCCTGAGGGTGTGTTTAGGTGAAGGTCAGGATTTGTTAATACTTTGCTGAAGTAAGCTGGTTTTGTTTAACAATATATTTTTTATTCTGTATATATGTAAATATGTTTTTTATGATGTTATTTGTTTGCAAGATTTTAATAAACAAAAAAATTTACAATCTACAGTCCCTAACTCACATACATACATAGACAGAAGCCAATTAACCTACCAACATGTCTTTGGAATGTGGGAGGAAACTGGAGTACCTGGAAGAAACCCAAGCAGGCACAGGGAGAACATGCAAACTCCAGGCCAGTAGTGTCGTTGGTGCACGTTTAGAAGATATTCCTTTAACCTACAGGCAAGCTTTATTATAAGCTTTCCTGTAGGTAAAAATAAAAATGAGGAGTTTACTAACACTTTAAGGGGTTGATTTATTAAAGGCAAATAGACTGTGCACCATACAACATGCAGTTGCACTCTGCAAGTGCAATTGCAACAGAGCTTTCTAAAGGAGATAAAGATCCACTTTTGCAAGGAATACCCAATCACATGCAAGGAAAATAAAAAAAAAACACTTTTGCTTGCACATGATTGGATGATAGAAGTCAGCAGAGCTTCTGCTCATTTTGTTAACCTCTGGGCCTAGACGCCGAGCAGCCGCACATTTGCGTTCTATTAAAAAAGGACATATGTGCCGAGAACGCACGCCCTGCGCGCGCGCTCCCAGCACACATGTCCAGCACTCACGGAAAGGTCCCGATCTCCTCTTTCGATCGGGACCTTTCCCGTTCATGTGACCGCCGTGACGGCGCGTCACGGCGGTCACATGACCCTAAACCCCGCCTCCTGGCTTCTGAAACTCTTAAAGGGCCGGGAGGCACCGGCATGAAGGGGTTAAGCTCTGGAGTAACTGCTCCTGCAGAGTGCCACTGCACTTTTCAAAGTACACAGTCTATTTTCCTTTAGTAAATCAACCGCTAAGTGTTGGAAGAGTTAAAGCAGAAGCCAAAAAATTGTTAGCTGGTTCAGTTTATGTCTGAAAGAAGAAAATTGGTATTTCTCTTCTGATAAAAACTTTTTTTCCCTTTTTTTTCCTAGCAAATTGTCTTTGTAATTATATTTGCTGGCAGTTCATGCACAGTGCAGCCTACATTCTCTGCATCTGCCAAATGTCGAAGATTGCAGCTGAATTCTAGGATAATGCAATTCCCATTCTCCAGGTCTCTCCTTAGGAGTGTCTAAGAGCACAGAGCACATGTGTGGGCCTGGGTCGAGAAGATTTTATCAAGCAGCTGTGTAGCTCTTGGGAACTAAAATATGAGAGTAACTGCAATTACACTTTCAAGTAAAAATTCATTTTAAAAGCCCACTCTACCTTAAACCCAAAACTAATCCAACCCAGAACCACCTACCCAGGTGTCTTTCTGGTGGCAGCCTTATTTAGGGTTTACATCCTGAGGTTCAAAATCTTGCCTGGTGTTGCCCACACTTACCATTGGTTCACATATATGCGGCCGTGCAAGCACGAGAGCCCATTCAATTGAATGGACTCCCGTGCCCTGTGACACGCAGGAAAGAAGTCCCTGCACATCTTCTGAAAACACAGCCCGCACGGGAACCTTGGTTCCCAGTACAGTTGCATTTTCCAGTGCGGGCAGCGTGCCATTAGAACTAATGGCACCCGCCCGTGGGTCCACATTCTTCTGTGTGGGTGGTGGGCGGATTTTTGTGCGGATCTGCAGCCGCACCACTCGCACATATGTGAACCTAGCCTTATGCAATATACCTACCACAGACTTGATTGGGACCATACCCCTAGAAGTGTAAACAGTGGAGGAGGCAATCTCCATCACACAGAAATAAATAAGCACCTAGATGTGGGTTTCTAGGTTATATTAGTATAGCCGCCCTGCCTTACACAGAAGTGTCTATTTAAATTTTGTGTTTGCTAGGCTGTAGTCAACCTGAGCTGACTCAATAGTTCAGCTTTCTTGGATTACTGGGCTCTAGTCATTGTTTGCTTCTGCCTGCTACTGGGGAGTTTCCCTGGATATAGTGTGGGAGGCTGAATTGATTAGAGTTTGGAGTTTTTGTATTTCCCTGGCCAACCACAAGGCAGTTTATTGCCAGTGGTGCAGACTGGGAGAGGGTATAAACATTCAGTAGTGACTTTGTGAAGTCAGTCTTCCCCCAGTTGGAGGGTTGTAGGTGGCTGTTTTATCCTCTCAGGCCTCCTATCTGAGGCTTTAGTCATTGCTTGCTTCTGCCTGCTACTGGGGAGTGTCCCTGGAAATAGTGAGGAAGGCTGAATTGATTAAAGTTAGGAGTTTTTGTATCTCCCTGGCCAACCAGAAGGCGGTTTATTGTCAGTGGTGCAGGCTGGAAGAGGGTATAAACAATCAGTAGTGACTTTGTGAAGTCAGTCTTCCCCCAGTTGGAGGGTTGTAGGTGGCTGTTTTATCCTCTCAGGTCTCCTGTCTGAGAAGGGTGATTAGGTGCCAAGATGGAGGTTGGAGTTGTCTGGTATATTGAACAAGGGGATTAAAGCAATATGAAGAATCTTCAGCCTAGCTGTGGAACCTGGGTGAAGCTTGGCCCTCAACTAAAGTTTGGTGGCCTCTCCTCAAGAGGTCAATAGTTGAACCAACTAGTACATTTCCATTCTGGAGCTGATTCAACAGACTGTCAGGCTGGCTTAAAGGTCCTCTATCTGTTGAGACTGCAATTACTTTTTGTCACTCATCTGGGGCCTGTGAAGTTCATGGTTGTCCTGTGCCCTAACCCTCTCTGCCAGGAGTGTTGAGTAAGGGTCATTAAACTCCATTTGTTGCATTCAACAGTGACTGCCGCCCAACTGTTCACATCGCTCTGCTATTGCAGAGGTCTAGACTATGAGGTGAAACACCTCTGGGGTACCTCACATGCTTTGGGAGTTGAATGGGGTGCTATATTAAGTCTGGGGTACCTCACATGCTTTGGGAGTTGAATGGGGTGCTATATTAAGTTAGGGGGCTAGGGAGGGTGGGCATTTTTTTAAACTTGTCCTTTAATTAACTTAATTGAGTCACTGCTCAGATTCAGGTCTTAAAAAGAGATTAGTTTCCCTCAGACTTCCAAAAATATCTCATTTGTAAGCAGAAACGGCACACACGCCAGCCTGACAAAGACGTCCTTTATCCCCTCATTCAATTTGAGACTGGAAGCATTACTGCTGTAGTGTTTTGGACAAATGATTACAACAATGATTAGGACTCTGGCAATATGACCGTTTTGGCAAAGATATTATTCCCAAGTGACGAGTCCTTGAAAATTCTGCAGCAACAACTTAATGAAGAGCCAACAATGTTTTCTTTGTACTTTAGATAATGTAGAGCACAGACAGAACTATTCCCAAACTAAAGAAAAAAAAAAATCATACTAAATGAATTGCTTTTTATTACGGTCAGTACATGCCAGCAAGCAGAATATTTAAAGCCAGCCTGTGCTTTGCTAATGAGGGGTAAAGAAAGCAACAGTTTCACTTTAAAGTAGAACTGACTCCAAAAAGTGAATATTTGTTTTGTTATAGAGAATATTTTAAATGGTTTGTGCCTAAGTATTAAAGTGTTACTAAATCAAGGACCCTGCATTCACTATATATGGTCTCCTGGACCCTGCATTCACTATATCTGGTCTCCCCAGACCCTACATTCACTATATCTGGTCTCCCTGGACCCTACATTCACTATATCTGGTCTCCCCGGACCCTACATTCACTATATCTGGTCTCCCCGGACCCTGCATTCACTATATCTGGTCTCCCCGGACCCTACATTCACTATATCTGGTCTCCCCGGACCCTGCATTCACTATATCTGGTCTCCCCGGACCCTGGTCTCCCTGGACCCTGCATTCACTATATCTGGTCTCCCCGGACCCTGCATTCACTATATCTGGTCTCCCAGGACCCTGCATTCACTATATCTGGTCTCCCTGGACCCTGCATTTATTATATCTGGTCTCCCCAGACCCTGCATTCACTATATCTGGTCTCCCCGGACCCTGCGTTCATTATATCTGGTCTCCCTGGACCCTGCATTCACTATATCTGGTCTCCCAGGACCCTGCATTCACTATATCTGGTCTCCCGGACCCTGCATTCACTATATCTGGTCTCCCAGGACCCTGCATTCACTATATCTGGTCTCCCCGGACCCTGCATTCATTATATCTGGTCTCCCAGACCCTGCATTCACTATATCTGGTCTCCCCGGACCCTGCATTCACTATATCTGGGTCTCCCCAGACCCTGCATTCACTATATCTGGTCTCCCTGGACCCTACATTCACTATATCTGGTCTCCCCGGACCCTGCATCCACTATATCTGGTCTCCCCGGACCCCGCATTCACTATATCTGGTCTCCCTGGACCCTGCATTCACTATATCTGGTCTCCCCGGACCCTGAATTTATTATATCTGGTCTCCGCAGACCCTGCATTCATTATATCTGGTCTCCCCGGACCCTGCATTCATTGTATCTGGTCTCCCTGGACCTTGCATTCATTATATCTGGTCTCCCATGACCTTGCATTCACTATATCTGGTCTCCCCGGACCTGCATTCACTATATCTGATCTCCCCGGACCCTGCATTCACTATATCTGATCTCCCACAAACACACACAACATGGAAATGCAATTATTTTAGTAAATATAAACTGCTAAATACCTTTTACCATCAGCAGTCTATAACAGTCTTGTGACTTCTATCAGTGTCCAGCAGAGCACTGGTTAAAGCTTGTAGGATGAGTTTTTCATTCTCCCCTGATTGTCCCTCTGTCTGGATAGTGCTGATCATATGCACTCTCCCAAGAAAAAAAAATTTGTCTAGCAATACACACCAAACTGAGCATGTGCAGCTTGGCCCCAAGGCTCTGTTCTATCAGCAGATGGATTGGGGACAGTAGAAGAAGGGGAGGATCAGAGAAGTCAGGATCAAACAGTCTTTTTACACAGTGCAGAGGATTAACCCCTTAGGCTCCACAGTGAGTATAACAAGTATGTTTTAATGCATGTACAGACTGATTTTACTGTCGTGGGTTTAGTAACACTTTAACCCTGAAAAATCTACTATTGTCTTGAGTTGCTCCTAAAAATAGCAGTGTACCTTCTGATAGATGCTATCTTACAGAAAACATCTTGAAATATTACTTATGACCTAGCAGCACCCTGAAAATTTACTTTTTCACTTAAATTCTTCCAGAAAAAAATCGCAGTGTGCTTCCTGTCACTAGGAACTGTTGTGCCTTATATTGGTTGTAAGCCCTTACATATACCCAGTGAAATGACTGGTCTCAGGTGATATACAGTCCTTCTACATAAGTTGTACCTGTTTATGTGCAGACATCTTTCCCCTACACCCATTCGAAGTGCAGAATTTACACAGGGTCTCTCAGCTATGAGAAGCAGGGGGCAGGGAACTGAAGTTACATCAGTGAGGAGAGTTTTGAGAGATGATTGGAGGAAAGGGACACACCCCCTTCACACAGCTCACAGGAACAGAGCTGAGGCTGTCAATCAGCTGGAGGTCCCTCCCCTGTTACCATTTTTCTCTTGGTGTCAGGAAAACCTGTCTGAAGGGACTCATGCAGATAGTAAAGGAAGGAGATAGCGGACATAAATAACACTTAATGCTCTTAATTAAGAAAAGTACACAGTTTAGAGGGATATGCTTTGTCAATATCTCATGTCTGAGGTTTAAAACCACTTTAGCCACTTCAGGTCCAGACACTTTCACCCCTGTCCAGTCCAGGCCAATTTTCAGCTTTCAGCGCTGATCGATCACAGAGCTCACTTTAGTAAACAATAATGCCAGGAAATGACTGTTATTTTCTACTGTACAAGTGATTGCTGATTGGCCAATCAGTGATCACATGGTATTGGGGCCAACCATAGCAGCTTGGTACAGCGATCCGTGTTCCACTGTGTCCGGAGGAGCATACACAGGTAGCAGATGTGGGGGGATGTTTAGAAATGTCCACCCACATCGGTGCTGCTCCTGTCCAGCCATTTATGTGGATGGGCAAGACTGGAAGAGGCTAAAGCTCAGTTGTATATCTGCAGTGTGAACTCTAAGGCACTGCTGCTTCTGATTACTAGCCTTAGGAGATTCGGAATACATTTTGATGATGTCACTATTTATTGGACGGTCCGCCTTGGTCACATGTGAAAACATAAGCAGCACCTTTAGCAGTCATCCCCCTTACAATCTCTCTTCCACTAGTCATTAGAACTTACAAGGCTGTGCTTTCTGTAGTCACCTCCACACTCTCCCGGGGACCCTCCAGGGAACCAGCCTCACAATGGGATCTCACTGCCAGGTCTAAAAGAGCTTTTGAAATCTGCCCTAGCCCCCACCTCCAGAAGGGGCAGAAAGACTACATCTGGCTCCTCCTGAGTATAGGCCCACTCATCCTGGCCTCCTGCCCTGTCCAGGGCATACGTGTGCTGGTTGCATCCACATAGATGTGGGGTCTTTAGTTACTATGCCCTAAATGTGTGTGTGGTTCTGTCAGGGATCCGGGTATGACCAGAGATGTGTGGACTGACACAGGGAAACAGCAGGCTTCTGGAACACAGGCGTAGTCAGGCTGGAGAGGTGGAATGGTCAGGCAGGCCGTAAGGTACTGTCAGGCACCGCCCGGCGGGATCTCTAGTGACCCAAAGAAGAACAGGATTCCCCAGGGAGTCTAAGCCCCAGTCTGCCTTTTCACCAGAGCCCCTGATGGTGGGGATGGACTTGGCGCAGGACTGAGACAGGTCGCGGTCCCTGAGTGCACCCCAACTGTGGTAGAGGGGTCTGCTGAGGGTATGTACCGGGGGGAAAACCTGATGTGAAGGGGCTGGCAGGTTCGGACAGTAGTGACTGGATCAGTGCGGGATGGATGGATGACAGCATGTAGTGTAGCGTAGTCAGACAAGCCGGGTTGGTAACGGTGGAGGCAGATCAGTACAAGCAGCAGGCGAAGAGTAAATGGGTCACGAGCCAAGGTACAGCAACAGGAGGTCAAACAGCATAGGAGTAGGCAGAAGAATAGTCAGGGACGAGCCAGGAGTCAGAGCAGGAGAAGTCAGCAGAGGTCAGGATCAGGCAGGGTCGGCAACAAATCAGATAGGCAGAGGAACAGGAACACAGGATACAAGGTACAGGGGCTCATGGGAAACAACACCAAGCCCTGATCACAGGCCTGGTCCTGCTTAAATACACCTCCTGCAATCAGCCTCAGGTGATGGCCTGATTGCAGGAGTGAGATTCTGGCTGCTGAGAGCGCCCGCTGGCCAGCCTTGGTACTGCAGCCCACAAGCCAGGTGAGTCCCACCACCATTGGCGAGTCCATTCCTGACAGGTTCTACCCACCTGACATATAATGTGTGCTGACCCCTGATATCACTGCAAGAGGGCTCCACCTAAAAGGGGCCTAGCACCTGATGACACTGTCTTCTGCAACCAGACACTATTCTGGCAAAGAGCCGACCAGATGTATTATACAGATGTTTACTTCAGTCCCTGAAGTTGATACCTGGCCTCACCTCTCCCACCTACTGGACCTCATTATTGGTCAGAGGGATTGCCAATTACAATTATGGACCAATAAGATATAAGAGGGAAAAGACAAAGGTTGGGGTGGAACCTGAAAAAAAAATGTGTATCGGCTTGAATTACAGTGCTTTTAGTTGGTTGCAGCTCCAGTTTCCCATGCTTTGGTCATCTAAAGCCAAGAAACAATTGAGACAATGGATAGAAGATTATTGTGGACCATTCTGTTTATGGGATCTTTTCTTCCATTAAAAGATTCCATATTTTCAGTGCATCAAGAAGATTTGAGCGCTGGTTTCTGGTTACTGTTGAAGCATATTATACTTACTTTACACCCGCCTTCCGCATCACTAGACACAACTCCACCATCCATTGAGGACGATTCCTGTGGAACTGGAAGGTGAAATCTCATGAGAAAATGATTTAGTCCATGGTAGGAGTGTCTTCTTGTGAGATTTTGGTTGCTCTGTAATCACCAGTACCTTGCTGGAAGGAATTGATGTCACCCTCACCTAGGCTCTATTGGTGGAAGATGAGGGTAAAGCATGTGTAAATATACAGTTGTGTTCAAAATAATAGCAGTCAGACATCACTAACCTGACCAATCACTGTTTTTGGTAGAAATGATATTTCTACATGGCAAATAATTTACTAGCAGGTGTAGTAGAGTAATAGAAATCCAACAGACCCAACAGTCATGACATGCATGCTGCTGATTCTGTGTAATTGAATTACTAATTGAAAAGGGCGTGTTCAAAATAATAGCAGTGTGGAGTTCTATTAGTGAGGTCATTCATTCTTTGAAAAACAGGTGGCAATTATTGCCCTTATTTAAGGAAGGAAGGCAAATAAGCAAATGTTGTACATGCTGGTTACAGTGCATTTCTCTCTGAAATTCTGAGGAAAATGGGTTGTTCCAGACATTGTTCAGAAGAACAGTGTACCTTGATTAAAAAGTTGATTGGAGAGGGGAAAACATATAGAGAAGTGCAGAAAATGATAGGCTGATCAGCTAAAATGATTGCAAATGCTTTAAAATGGCAACCAAAACCTGAAAGACGTGGAAGAAAGCAAAAAACTACCATTCAAATGGATAGAAGAATAGCCAAAATGGCGCGGACTCAGCCAACAATCAGCTCCAGGAAGATCAAAGAAGATCTAAAGTTCCCTGTGAGTACTGTTACAATTAGAAGACACCTATGTGAAGCCAAGCTATCTGCAAGAAGCCCCCGCAAAGTCCCACTGTTGAAAAAAAGACGTGCTGAAGAGGTTACAATTTGCCAAAGAGCACATTGACTGGCCTAAAGAGAAATGGCGCAACATTTTGTGGACTGATGAAAGTAAGATTGTTCTTTTTGGGTCTAGTGGCCGGAGACATTTGTCAGACGACCCCCAAACACTGAATTCAAGCCACAGTACACTGTGAAGACAGTGAAGCATGGTGGTGCAAGCATCATGATATGGGGATGTTTCTCATACTACGGTGTTGGGCCTATTTATCGCATACCAGGGATCATGGATCAGTTTGAATACATCAGAATACTTGAAGAGGTCATGCTGCCTTATGCTGAAGAGGAAATGCCCTTGAAATGGGTGTTCCAACAAAACAACGACCCCAAACACACCAGTAAACGTGCAACATCTTGGTTCCAGACCAACAAGATTGACGTTATGGAGTGGCCAGCCCAATCCCCGGATCTTAATCCAATAGAAAAACTTGTGGGTGACATCAAAAATGCAGTTTCTGAGGCAAAACCAAGAAATAGAGAAGAACTGTGGAATGTAGTCCAATCATCCTGGG